CTGGAAGAATTCTAGTTGTTTCGTGTTTGGGGCATATATGGAGCCGATTGTCAGTTTGATTTTGCCATCTAGTGTCCCTTTAGCGAAAATGAATCTGCCTTTTTTGTCCTTGAGGACTGTTGTGGCAGTGAAGTTCAGGTCCCTACTGAGTATTATGGCTACACCACGGGCTTTCCCTGAGCCTCCTGCGACCCACTGTTGACTAAAGCGGGGGTCGCTCAGGAGTTTGCTGCCTTTGGGTGGATTGTGTATTTCTTGTAGGAAGGTGATGTGTGGTTTCATGGTGTTTATGTATGAGGTGATGCGTTTTCTTTTGATGGGGTTTCCCAGCCCCCTCACGTTTAATGTAATTGCTTTTAGGTTAGCCATTTTGTTTATCTATTATGTGGGGCGATTCCCTGCCAACCCGTTCGGGTTGTCTTGTGTCTCTCTCTTCGTGTTGTTTAAAGAACCAGTGGGGTTGCGCTGACCTAGGGTGTGGTGGGTGGGGGGCTAGTAGGATTAGAGTGAGATTTGGGTTAAAGAGTAGGGGGTAAGTTGTAGGGAGTTTCCTATATGTAGTCATATAGGTGTTTGTTTGGGGTATTTTGGGCCATCTGGCATTTAGCCAGTTGGTCCTAGGTCTCAGCTGGTGTGGAAGGCCATGTTCAAGGACAGGCCATCCCCCCTGTTGTCTGCGATAGGGGGTGATCAGCGAGACAGTGTGAAGTGACTTTGTAACGTCGCTGTCAGGTATAAGGTTTGTAAGCAGTGTTGCCAGTATTATGAGCAACATTGTTGGTGTGGGGATGTGGGTGCTGGTACGCTCTGGTGCCACCATAGTGCTGGTTGGGTATCAGATTTTAGCCTGATTGTGGGTTGTGTTATTAAGGTTGGAGTTGTTTTTCCTTAGTATGGAGTATGAGGATGTTGAAGGTGTGGGTGATGGGGAATGTGGTTGAGGTCGTCTGGACTGGTGTTGGGGTGGGGATTTCTGTGGGGGTGCGGGGCTGGGGGGGATGTTGATGGTGTTAACTAAATCTATGTTTTGGGGGGGGAGGGGAAAAAAAGGGGGGGAATCACCAGTCCTTCAGTTTGTGGGTTTTTCCTGGTTGCTTCTTTCAGCCGGGGTTGTTGTTGTTGTAGGGTTGTCCATCTGCGATGAGTTGGTTTGGTTGATCTTGGTCTGGTTTCTTGTGTCGTATGGCCGGCGGGACGGTTCTGAGCATGATGCTTGCCTGTATTGGTTTGCGTTGTTGCGCCGCTTCTGTTGTATCTTTTGTATCTTTTTCTTCTGTACCGTTGTCCAGTTGTTTGCTGTTGTTTCCTCGTGGTTGGGGCTGTCACTTGGTGGGTTTGTCGGTTTCCATTCCGGCGGGAGGTCGAGTTCAAGGTTCTTTAGTAGTTGCAGGGCCTCAGGTATGTTGGTAGCCATGTGTTGTGTTGTGTTCGTTGTTACAATGAGGCGGAAGGGGAAGCCCCATCGGTATTTGATCCCTGCTTGTTGGAGACGCTGGGTGCATGGGCGCAGGCTTTTCCTCCGGTTTAGGGTATCCTGGGATAAGTCCTGTAAGGCCAGGATGGGGGTTTCTCCGTATCGAAGGTTGGTTAAGTTTCTGATGTTGTTCCATACCTCTTCCTTCTTTTGGTAGCGTGTGAAGCATACAATGATGTCTCTCGGGGGGGCGCTGGGTTTTGGCATAGGTTTTAGGGCTCTGTGAGCCCTCTCCAAGTCATCTGCCTCAAGTTTCAGGCTTGGGATTGTGTTTTTCAGCCAGCGTATAATTAGGTCTGCTGGGCTTTCCTCCTCTGTTTTTTCAGGAAAGTTGCGGAAGCGGATGTTACAACGTCTATTGCGGTCTTCAAGGTCGGCTTGCTTAATTTTCATCTCGTTGTGTTCTGCTTCCATTTGGTTTACCAGTTCGTCCAGTTTCTTGTTCACACGTGCATTCTCCTCCCGGTATTGTTCTATTATTCTTTCTTGCATTTGGTTCTTGTTCTCTAGAGCTTCCACTTTGGAGGTTAGATTGTTGATTAGTACCTGCATGGGAGCCATTGTGGCCTTCAGTGTTTCTTCTAATCGTGCTTCCATTTCCCTCAGATCTCGTTTCGTTATTGGGTGGTCATCATCTTGAAGGGGAGTTACCATCTTAGCATTGTTTGCCATCTCCCTGGTTGGTGTCATCTCGGTCTCCCTGATGGTTTTGGTTTGAGGTTGGCTTGGCATCCTCTTGGGGTTGGGCGTGTGATGGTTAGGAGTTGTGGCAGTGGTGATTCCTGGGTATTGTTGGGTTGCTGAGCTGATCAGGCTTTGTTGGCTGGTGGCTTTTACAGAGCGTTTGGATTAGGTGGTCATTTGTGTCACTTCTAGCCTGTGTTTTAAGAACTTCTCTAGGGCTTCTGTAGATGCCTCAGCGGTGCCGCCGAGGCGGGGGGGGGGCAGGTAAGCAGAGATGGGTAGACTAATGGACAGACAGTTCATATAAAGGGAAGGGGGTTAGCAGGTAGAGATGCAAGAGATTAGAGGGTATATGTTTAATTTTCCTCCATTTTTAATTACTTTCCCACAAACAAAAAATAACAACAATAACCAGGGGGAAATATTATTCTTAAGAAAAACAAATCAAACAAAACCATGCAATTATTTTTTATTTTCCAAATGGGTATATGGAGGAAATTTTTGTTTTAAAAGAGAGTGGTGGTCGTAGCTGGGGGCGAAAGATTCGCCCCTCAGGAGCAAGCCAACAAGAGCTTTAAAAAGAGAAAGAAAAGAAGAATAATTGTATGGCTCTGCTCTGTCTTTTAAAAAATAATAATAATATGTCCCCCCAACCACCGCCACCACTCTCCGTCTGCAGAAAAGCAACCAAAAATGTACGGGTAAAAGATAAAAATGAGAATTAAAGGTAAAAAAAAAAGGGGGGGTTGTCTTTAGATAGAGCTTTTTATTTTTTTTAAAAAAAATGAGTAAAGTATAGGTAAAAGAGGGTAGGTAAAAGAGAGTGGAAAGTCTGGGGCGAAGTGGCAGTCCCAGGAAATGGCCTGTGATGGTTCAGGGCTGTTTTCTGGGTACTGCCATTTTAAATCTTAAGAGGGGAGTTTGAGGTGGAAATAAAATGAGGTTTAAATTGAGGATGTGTGTGTGGAAAAGTGTGTCTTTAAATAGTGAGTAGAAAAGATAGAAATAAAAGTAAAGATTCAAATAAAGGGTGGCTGCAGCAGCAGTGGCCCCTCTTTTAAAAAGAAAAGTGGTAAAAGTAGGTATATGGGGGGGAGGGATAAGAAAGATGTATATATATATTTTCTTTAAAGGGAGGGAGGGAGGGGGAGGAAGGGGTTAAAAAAAGGGGGAGTTAAAAAAAAGGGGGGGAGGTTGTTTTTTCTTTTCTGTGGTCTCCTTTGTTATGCAGCTTCTCTGTGTTTTCCTTGCCGCTGGAGCTCCCGGTAGGGCTCAGCCACGTGTGTTTTTTTCCCCCTTCCTTCCCCGAAGCCTATTTTGCCTTCACCGTGCTCACCTACCTCTCCTCTGCTTTCCCGTCGGCAGAGATGGGGGCAGCAACGGTAAATTTGGGGCTCCTTTTTCTTTCTTTCTTTTCCTTCCTCTCTCTCCCTTTCTTTCTCCCTCTTTGCGTTAGCTCCACTGTCCTCCTGGTTTTGGAGCTCCTCTCGGCTGTTGGGGGGGGGTCGGGTGCCTTTCCGGCTCAATCAAGGTCGTGGGGGGGTGTTTTGGCTCCTTTGATAGATGCCCGGGCACCCCCAATTCCTCTCCGTTGGCGTGGCTGGCAGCAGCAGTCCTGGGGGGTCCAGGAATCGGTCGCCAGAGCCTTTTACTCTGGCTGGCTTCAGGAGCTCTTTTCTTCTGCTGCTGCCGCCATGCTGCCTCGCCGGAAATTCTAACCTTTTTCTGGACACAACATAAGACCATGGTCCCATGTGAAAAGTGAATCTGTGGGCACACACACATGCACTTCCAGCTGGACCTGTGAATGGAGCCTATGTGTTTACAACAGTTGTGCAGGCAGGCTGTGTTCACAGGTTTGGATGAAAGTGTAGGGGGCAGGGCCTGCTTCTTCTTCACATTTATTTCCACAAGGATGAACATGTGACCAATGCCTACATATCATGGGACTAAACGAACTGTAGAAACTTTGTATAAGATGGTACAGATGTTTTGCCTGCAGTCCTAACCATGCCTATATGGAAGCAAGTTCTTTTTAACTTGGTGGAACTTCTGTATAAATCTGATTAGGATTGGGCAGTCAAATGTGGATCTAAACACCTGCAGCAAAGAGTATTTTTTACAGCTCAGCTTATGAAACTGTTTAACTCTGTAATTTTGTTCTTTCTCCTGCTTCACACCTTTCATCGCTTTTGCTCTCTCTTTGCAGCTATATATTTATTGCAATTATTTCTAACCCATGTTTCAGGATGCAAATCCTTCCAAGTAACGTCAATGCAATTTAAAAACACACTGTAAGGAATTACAACATTTAGCACGTCATAAGGATCCTTCTCACTGGCAGCTGGTGACAGATGGCTTTGTGCAGAGAAGAGCCAGTCCAGGCTCCTCTCAGCACAGGATCAGGCAATCACACTCTCTGGGAATCCTTCCCATGGGGTAACTGGTAGTTGGCCTTATGGTGGGCAGCTGGAGCAGGCAGGGGTAACTTCTTCACCTGACCTATCATTAAATAAATAGTATATACATGGTAGAGCATGCACTTTGCATACAGAAGGCCCCAGGTTTGATCCCTGATGATTCCAGGTACGGGTGGGAATGCCCTCTGTCTCAAACCCCAGAGAGCTGCTGCCAGTCATTGTAGACAATACGGAGCTGGATGGGAGAATCCAAATGGATGGACTTGGTATAAGGCACGTTTCCCATGTTTTATACAGTCATTTGTAAGTGTCAGACTTTCTTCTGACTTGATAGCAGAGGAAAAGTGACAAGAGTTCAAGGGTTCCTAATAGTTTGAATTTTGTAGGATCTTGTCATTGATGTTTGTCTTTTTGCTTTTCAGTTAAGCAGCTAATTCGTCTGCTACTGAAGACAGACCCAACAGAGAGGATGACAATTTCTCAGTTTATGAATCACCCCTGGATTAATGTAAGTCCTGCACAAACACTCGTGTGTGTGTGTGTGGTGTTGGTGTTTTAATTTGGACACGAGGCTGCCTGCTGTGGTAAGAGGGAGTATAACTCATTTAACCAGGAGTCTGCCCTGTATAAAAGGGATATAATTTCCACTGTGCAGTGTGAGAGAACTCTTGGGGGTGGGGTAAAATTTCCCTGTCAGTGGCAGTCAAGGACACTACACCCCCATCCCAACTGCTCCCGGCTAGCATTTTCTGTTCAGTGCGCCATGCACACGCCCTCCTTCCCTCACTTATAAAAAAAGCCATGTTACCTCATCAGTGTAGGATTTATGGAGGACTATTATTAGACATTCAAGGCACCGTCGTGCTGAACTGCTCTCTATTGATATGAATAGAGAGCCTCCTGCTTTAAGGGCGTTTTTGGTCTTTGGCACAGATCTGGAAACGTTGGGGTTATTGAGTGGGGCGATAGTGGAGGTTTATGTGCAGCACTCTAAGAAAACAACACCAGAAGCTGTTTTTATTGGGTGATGCTAACTAAAAGGCAATGGCAGGCTCTCATGTCATAGAATTCTTTGCCTCCAGCAAGAAACAAGCCGCTGCTAAGGCTACAAATCTGAGCAGTTTCAGGGCAGCTTTTCTGTCTATTGCTATGCAGGACTCACTGGAGTTTTGTGCATTTATTGTTTCTTTATTATATTTCTATTCCCTTCTGCCATTAAGGTTATATCCCTCTGTATATGTGTCTATATAAAAATAAAAATAAAAAGGAAGAGAAAGAACACAAAGAAATTAAATGTCCCTAAATAATCTATGTATTGCCCCCAAGAGCAGCTGGCATGCAGTTGTCGGGGGTGGCTAACATTTTTAGATCTGTGGGGAGATCTGGATTTTTGAGTAAGTGATGTGGGCACCACCCGCTCTGATCCTTCTCATTCCCCAGAGCAGCCATCTCCAACACAGACGGGCAAAAAGAGAGGAAGCACACATGCATGCAGGCACACACACTTCACTTTTCTCAGGGTTCTGGGGAAAAGCTTATTAATCTGTGCAGTGAAAAGCATAGAGGTGCAAGAGGATGTGGGGAAGAGCATCACTCTCCCTTCAAATTTGATGTGCTTTTCAGGGGGAAAAGGGTAGCCACCCTCGTGACCAACACGCAGTGACTGGGTGTGCCGAAAGAGTTTTGAGGGTGCCAGGGGAAGACCTCAAGGGCACCACTTCCCCCGCAGTGCCACACTGGCAACTGCTGCTCTAAGCGATAGCATGCAACCTCCTAACAGCTGTTGGTCATTTGGCTACTTAGTGGACCAGGCAAAGCTCCACACTAAAGTAATTCCTCTCATGACCCAGCCCCAAATTTTAGATCCCAAAATTTATTAAATTCAAAGGATTTTGGCCTTGCTAAAAGTCATTTGTAACTGGTCTGGAAAATGAAGCAGTAATAAATGTAAATAGCTTGATTGGGTCACACAGATTGGATGCTATACTTGATGCAAATCTAAAGTGAAAAAGAGGTGTTTAAAGTAAGTGAGAAGCAGCTCTACCATGTGCTGACATCTAAACAAAAATGTGGTTGAAAAGAGAAATGCCTTGAAAGCTCCTGGGATTGTGTGCTACATAGAGACAGTGGTTAAATAGACATCTAGATGCCATCTCTATGAGAACAAGTAAAGTCCCAGTTGATGTATCATCTCAGCCTCAGTGACAATGTGTCAAGGTAAATAGTTAAGCAGGTGGACAAGTTAAGTGTACATGCAAAAATGTTCTTCTAAACTAATTGGTTGAAGTAGAAGTTGGAGGAAATTAGCCAGGAGTATAAAAGTAAGTGAAGTTGTGAATGAGCACAATAAGAAGTTGAAATCCTGGTCATCCAAGGTAGCTTCACCTGAAATGCTATTCATCCCATGTTCAGGGCCACCTAAATAGGCAGAGCTGAAGGGTTTCCATGCATAGATGAAATGGTGCTATCAGGAAGAGAATGTAGATTTGTTAGGGAGCATTCTGGGGAACAAAGCCAGATCCATATAAAGGGATGGGCTCCGCTTAAACCAAAATATTATCCATCTGTTGGTCTTCAGTCAATTCAGATTTATTGCTTATAAGCCATCACAATATAGAACACAGGTGGGGCTGTTAAATATAATACAACAATATTGAAGTGTATTATTCACCACCTTCCGTGCATGACAATCATGTGTTATGGCTGCAAAACACAAGGCTGAACACACTGCAAGTGAGGTTAACAGATTCTGGTAAGCTGTTGGGGGAAGTCAGGTTCTCCCTACACACAACCTAATACAGTGGTGCCTCGCAAGACGAAATTAATTCGTTCCGCGAGTTTTTTCGTCTTGCGATTTTTTCGTCTTGCGAAGCACGGTTTCGAAAAAGTTTTGGAAAAGCTTCAAAAATCACCAAAGTCTTCAAAAACCTCAAAAAAGGCTACCACACCGCGTGCTATGAGTTGCTCCTCGAAGTCAAGTTGCAACTGTATTAACGGTGTTAAGAAAAAGGAAACAAACTTGCAAGATGTTTCCGTCTTGCGAAGCAAGCCCATAGGGAAAATCGTCTTGCGAAGCAACTCAAAAAACCAAAAACCCTTTCGTCTTGCAAGTTTTTTGTCTTGCAAGGCATTCGTCTTGCGAGGTACCACTGTAAAATCAAAAATTCAGCCCTAAATATTGTTCAGCTCAGAGACCTGATGCTTCCAAATCTCAGAAGAGCTAGATTGCCTCCAGAACTTAATATCAAAGAAGTGGCAGAGCATGCCCTTTTGTTAAAGTTTACATAGAAAGGAACGGCAAAAGCATAAAGGGAACACTCAGCAGCACAGAGCCTGGCAGGGCCTCTTAACATCCCACCAATGCAGTTTTAGTCTCTCTCCTTTCCCTTTTCCCTTGGCAGATAACAAATGCAACAGTAGTTAGGAGCCATCTTGCAATGGAAAGAACGAATGGAGTTGCAGGGGCGATGAATGTACATGCATACGCTCCATCTGTCATTATTTTCTCAAAGCACTTTATAAACACTAATTTATCTTTGCAGTCCTCCCTGAAACATTTGTTTCTTTTTCTATATTTAAATAACCTAGGAAGAAAGTAGAATACTGATTTGACCAACATTCCATACAGTTGGCAAGGCTCAGGATAAAACACAAAAGGGATTGTCTCACGTTCCTTGCTGATAATTCCCAACCACATTCATTTAGACACATTTGTGTTACCTAACTAATTACCTTTATATATTGCCAGTTCTCTTTGTTGGTACATCTCCGGTATAGGGGCCACTGGATGTAACATTTCCCTCCGGGTCTATGCTTGTGGACGGATTCTCATGAGGTATCTCCATGAAGAAACATGGAGTCAAAATGGGCCATCTTTGTGGATTTCCTGGAAGGATCCATAAGCAGGATGCCAAGGGTACAACTTACTGCAGAAGTATGTCCAGTGGTTTACCTGTCAAAGCTAGTCCTTCCCTCAAGGGAACCTGGGAACTGCAAAGGAGCTAGGGATTGCTGAACATACTGATCTCAGCAGCCACATTAAGCTGCAGTTCCCAGTGTTCTGGCTGCAGAGTAGGATCCATGGCAGCAGAATCTGATTTGAAAGCACTTTGTGGCAGTGATACTAATAAACAAAGAGGCAGTACGGATAACTCACAATATAGGTTCCTGGCCATCACGTGTATAAGCAAAATCACGTAAAGCCGGAACACCCCCTAGAAAAGGAGGAAAACACCATTTTAAAAAAATAGCTGCACTTACCAGTGCGGGGCAAATGCAGCCCTCAGTCTTCCTCTTAAGTTTTCCTCCTTCTCTCCCTCACTGGATACTTGCTGCAAATGATATGAGGACCGGGGTGAGAGGTGGGGATTGACAGGTAGCCAGAAGACGTTTTTGGCTGTGGTTAAGATCCAGAGGAGGGTTGCCTGTGCACATCCACTGGTGGTGATGGTTTCTTTGTCAGAAGCATTGTGATTGGCGGCTGCAGCTGTTTCTTGAGCTCATCAAACATTTCCTTGTAAAGTCTCAGAGTGTCTGTAATCCCACGGATGATCTTGAGGCTGTGTTCCATGGTGGGGTCAAACTCTCCAATCAGATCTTTTGTATGCTTTTAAGAGGTTTTCCTGCTCTCCCACCCCCTTTCCCCCTCCCCTGCTATTTTCTTATTCCCCCCCCCCCGTGCATGCAATTTTTGCATCATTCTTTAAAAAAATATTAATCAGCAATGTGCATAAAGTTGTGAGTGTGTATGTTAAATAAGTGTGAGTTGCAAGTTACGTGTAGGAAAAAGAAAATCTCCTTTGCGCCTGAAGTGTGGCAGCCTGCACTCCTTTTCACTATTAGACTGTTTCTATTTCATTTTGACCCCAACGTGTTGTAGAATACCTAAACCTGCCATTCTTTTATACTGGACCTTGTCTTATGGTGCATGGCTTGGCTGGGTTATGCCATCTGGAGCAGCTCTCCTCTGTAAGGACCTTCCTGCTGCACAATTGCTTCCATGCAATTAGCCCATATTGCATAAGCTCAGGGGGCAGCCCCAGGCAGCATGACCAAGTGTCAAGAATGATGGGAGTTGTAGTCCAGCAATATTGGCTATCACTGGCAGAAGCTGATATGAAAGCAAGAGGGCCTGGAAGTCATAACCTCCATGCTTATGTGCTGATCATTTTCACATTATGTAGAAATACATTTATTAAAGCCCTATTACTGAGTTGGAGAGGAGTGCAATCTGAGAAGCACAGGAACGGAGGGAGCATAACACCCTTTACCCTCCCTGCTATTTTCTTGCTCCGGATTTACTCTTCCCTGGCAGCTTTTCACTCTGGGGTTTCAAATGTGTGTTTGCCCCTCAGTCTTATTCCATAGCTGCAATCCTATGGAAATGACACATATTTCAGTCATATTGAAAACGCCACTGTGCTTAGCAATGCAGCTAAGTACGTTTTTCTCTCTCCCTCCTGTTGCTTAGGAGACATATTTATACAATTTTCTCAAGACTTGTAATTACTTCATCAGCAAGGACGATGAGTGGTAATGTGTGAGTGTGTTATTGTCAGAATTACTGTTTCTGAATAGCTGCTTCTTTGGTTTCCTTAGCAATCCATGGTGGTGCCACCTACCCCTCTTCATACTGCCCGGGTTCTGCAAGAGGATAAAGATCACTGGGATGAAGTGAAGGTAATGATCACATATATTAGTAGGCTGGGCATTCGCAAATCCAGTCAGAGATAGTTTGATTGCTTTTCTTTCTGAACATCTTTTACCAGCTCATTACCAGCATTTTCATAACGATTGCCCAACTATACAGAAATAACTGATTAAGATGTTGTCTATATTCAATCAAGGGCAGACTCTAGCACACATGTCAATAAACCATGAGCTGCAAGTTTCATGCTACCCATTCCCCCCACATGGGTGCCCAGTCTACCTTCTCGATACTGGATTTTGCACAGTGATGGGGAGGAAGGTGCACAGAAAGAGTAATTCTCTGTGCAACTTCCATGCAAACCACACTCCTTCCAACATGCCAATAGCTGTTTGCTGGTCTTGGGGAGCACAGTGGTTCTCCAACTTACCAAACAACTCTTTGGCGGGCAAGCAGGAGCGTCCTCTCTCCCTGGTGGGGTAGACAGTAGTCTGTCCTTTTCTGATCCACAGGGAGAGCCATTGAGTGTGTGCACATGCATACCCAGGCCATGTCACTTTTTGCCCTGACCATGTTTATTGGTATTCAGCCTCTGAGTGACTACCCACTTTTGCACGTGACCCTCAGAGGCAAAACACTTTCCAGCCCTACACATAGCAAAACAGTGTTTCCCAATCTTTTCCCAACCATAGCCCCCCTTCTGACAATGATACCTTCCTGTGGCCCCCATGGGCGTAGCCAGGGGCAGGGGGCCAGGGGAGCAGCTGCCCCCCATAAGTAAAAATCAATACAAATTTGAGATTCTGCCCCTAGTAACAAAAACCTGCCCCCCTGTTTTGCCAATTAACTTTGCAGGTTTTTTAAAGGATCTTTGGTACTCAATATATGAGGGGAAAGATACTTTTATTTCAACAGAATAGGACAAACTCCTGAAACAATAACAAAAACAAAACCTCAAACAGTAATCTTCCTTAAACCTTCTACACAGTAATAAACCTCCTTAAACCTTCTTATACAGCAATACAAAACCCTCTACCACCAAGAAATAACCCCAAAGGAACAATTTCAAAGGAACAATTCCCCCACCAGACCTTCACCCACATACACCACCAGATCAAGCCCTAGCAGTGTTAGGTCCAGTCTTCTCCTCCTCCTCCTCCTGACCACATTGCCCTGCACTATTTATACCTGCCTCAACCAGGTGGGGCTAGATATCTCCACTGCCGCCACCCGTAGGAATGAGGGCTCCTAATCAGGGCAATCAAGCCCCAGTTGGACCACCCTCAAGGGCAGGAGTAGTCCTGCAAGGACTCACAGGAAGGTTTGGCTGTGTAAGGCCAAACTTACACCTCCTCTATTTTTGTTGTGCATTTTCCACTACACCCCCAGCAAAAATTCTGGCTATGCCCATGCCCCCCCCCAATCAGTAGAAAGGTAGCTATTTAAATGTTTTGTTTGCAAATAGAACATGTTTTATTCATAATTTTTTTATAATTTATCCAAAATACAATTACACAAAATGATAGGAGCATAATGAAATATTGTTAAAGCAGGAAAACATAGAATCATGGAGCTGGAAGGGACCCCGAGGGTTATCTTTCTACTGCAATCCCCTGCAACGTAGGAACCTCAGCTAAAGCATCCATGACAGATGGCCATCCAACCTCTGCTTAGAAACCTCCAAGGAAGGAGAGTCCAGAACCTCCTGAGGGAGATCCATCTTCCATGTACTATAAAAAGCAAACAACACTTACTTGACCCAAGTTATTTGACAGAGAGTGGGAAACCTTCAGATATAGTCCCAAAGGTGCACAGGGAGAATTTTTAAAAGCAAGTGGTCCTCACTGACCCAGTGCAAAAATATCGTCATCAGGAGGAGCCCTGGCTACCTGGATAAAACACTATAGCCACACACACGCTTACCTGGGAGTAAGACCCACTGAACTCAGTGTGCCTTTCTTCTGAGTAGACACTTAGTTATTTACTAGATGCAAGTCAGCAGCACCAGACGCCCCTACTTGGCTAGGCACCCCACGCCTTGCAGAACTGGGCCAACGCTGCCAACTGGCCCTGTGCCCCTCAGCAACATCCAAAGACCCTGATCCACTAGGTGCTGGGGTGGATTGCACCCTGCACCTTGCAGAGTCAGGCCAAGGCTGCCACCAGGCCCAGCACTGGCGGTAGCAACAAAGCAGCTCCCGCTCATCCAGCCCTATCCATTGCCATCCCACCACCATGCTTACCTGAGGGGTTCAGGACTGCAGGCTCTACTGGTCAAAACAGGAGCCTCAGCAATTTCCCCCTCCTGCCGGAAACAAACTTAGACTGCTCCAAGAAAATGCACATGGCAAAAAGGAGTACTAGGCCCTGGTGGGCCACCCCCTTACCTGCTTGCAATTGGCCAATCAGGATTTTTTTAAATGATTTTTTCCCTTCACTTCTCACTTCCTTCTATGGCCCCCTAGCCTCATGCTGTGGCCCCCCATTTATGCATTTTTCACCTGTGACCCCCTTGTAATATCCTTTCGCCCCCCCAGGGGGCCATATAGCCCCCAGTTGGGAAACACTGTTCTAAAGTATTAAAATATTGTTAGCGTTAAAATATAGTGCTTTCAGTAAGGATTCCTGTAGCGTTGTGTTACTTATTTCACCTTGGTCCTTCTAATCTCTTTGTCAGAAATGTTCAGTATAATTCTGCATATGTGTTCCTTGTCATTTAGCTGCACAGTCCACTTGGGTAGAATATGAGCTCTCTTATGAGAAAGGGCACAACTCTTAGTCTTGGCTGGGGGAGGTCAATGGAAATCTGTGACCAGAGGGTTCTGTTTTCACCTGAACATGGTAGGAAAGTGGCCTCCACTTCTTAAGACCTAACTATTGCCTCATGTGGATTTTAGGAGGAGATGACTAGTGCTTTAGCGACCATGAGGGTGGACTACGACCAGGTAAAGATTAAAGATTTGAAAACATCCAACAACCGTCTCCTCAACAAAAGGCGCAAGAAACAAAAGCAAGGAGGCACCTCTTCAGCATCTCCAGGATGTAACAACCAATAAAGAGAAGAGCAGAAGATAAATATCAAAAAGAACTATTAATTCAAATGGGTTCAGCTCAGCTTTTACACCAAGAACAAAGGGTGTACATCACTGAAGCTTTAAGTGAGTTGACCTACAGAGAAACTGCACTGTGGCATCCAAAATGCAATGTTCTGGAACTTTTTATGCGAGCACTGTGGGTTTTTCTAAGGGATTTTTTTGTTTTGTTTTTAGCATTGTTTTGTTTTCCCCCTAGAGTTCCAGAAAACCCTAGAATTCCAGTGGAAACTTAAGATGTGTAGTCTACCGACCAGAGGCAGTGCATGTTCCATACTTATTCACAATGAGCACAATCCAGCCAAGATTAAGGATGTCTAAGTCCCCTTGATTTCAGCCAAAAATATATTTAAGCCTGTGCTCAATTTTTTCCAGTTGGATTCAATAGGACATAAACCTGTTTAAATTTGGCTGGATTTATGTCTAGCATTTCTAAGAGAAACGAATTTGTGCCATCTCCTGTGGCATAAGCCTCATGGACAGAAAGTTCAAGAGTCTGGTAAGGAAGCACACAGAAAGGAATTAGGCATGTAAACTTTTCATGTATGTTTTCCTTCTTGGTCTTGACACTTTTGCTGTATTTTATTTTACTTCTAGGGTTCATGCTGTCAACTCGCACAATGCCCACCTGAGCTAGAAGCATTGCTCTTGACTTTAAGAGAAAAATGTTTACATCTTAATAATTTGTTTCCACTTTCACTGAAACATGGGGGTTTCATAGGTGTTGGTAAACATCCATTTCTGTTTCGCTAGAGCCATGTACACTGGGAAGCTGCAACTGACCATGCCTTCCTTCGGGGACTGTACATCTGTATGACTCAGCTGTTCCCTTTTCTTATTTTGTGTGTATGCTACAACTGTTCTGGGTACATAATTCTCTCAATCAGTGTTTAATAAGACTGATTTTTAAAAAAATTAAGAATCAAATATTAGACTGCAGCAGTCATTATTGAAACTTCTGCAGTGTTGAAATCCAAAGTGAACACACTTGCATGAATAACATACAAGACTACAGTTCAAAGAGGATCCTGTGTAGCCCAGAACGAAGCCTTCCAGTTCCATTGTTACAGGTGGGGCTTGAACTTAATGTAGAGTGCTGGTTTCTAACTTCTACCATTCTACGCACTGAATTAATAGCAATCCCATGTTAGACCTTGCGAGCATCCTGTAAGCAGTGTAAAAGTTAACAAAGTTGGTGAGAATGCTCCAAAATTCAAATAACTACTCATAATCACTGCATCATGATGCACATTATCACAAATTTTCAACATATATTTGAGGTTTACTTGACTGATGAAATTTATGATCAACCACTTTCTTTTTCAGTATGTTTTGGGTTAGAGTGGACATGGTGAAATGTAAAAGAAAAGAAAAAAGGCACTCAAGTTATTTGAATAAACACTTATTACAAGATGGTAGCAAAATCCATCTGGAACAGCAGTTGTGCCAAACACTCCTCAGTGTCTCAAACCAAGGAAGATTTTTCATCTTCTCATACAATATCTCATGATAGACTGGTCATATGACATGCTGGTCACGTGCCATCTATCCTTATTTAAGCATTCCATCATTCATCAGCTATTTCCAAAAACAGGGTGCAGATGCCTACAAATGCAGGCCCATCTATCTCCACTTCCAGCTTGAGCTCTCAGATGTGCTGTGTGGTTTGGAGAGGGTGAGAAATATCAAGGATTTTCCCGTGTTGCTGTTAACTTTTCCAAACCTTTGCACAGGGGAGGGAGATCCCTGATCTGCCTCAAGGCCTCTGCTTCTGTCAATGGGCTCAAGGAAGAGGTAGAGTTTTCTTCTGCTTTTAGTGCAATTTGGGAAAGGTAAAAACAGTGGCAGGTGACTCCTACTGTTCCTTTTGCAAACTGCAGCACAAATGAGATAAAACCCATCATCTCCCCTAAGTCCTCTCCACATGCTAGAAGACTTCAGAGGAGGGGATTTGTGGCTACTGAGGCAAGCCAAGCCAATATTTGTAGATCTCCGCGTAATAATTTCATTCCAGAATTACAAGGATTACTGGCTTTGTGAATCTGCAGTGCATAACCTCTCTATTCCTCACTCAGTGCCTCTCTTTGATGTACAGGTAGACATTAAACTGTTATTAAGACACACTGGATAAACCTATGAACTCTTGACTCTTTGCGAAATATTAACATTTTGCATATGTTAATAAATGGTGCTTTACCATTTTTTTAAGTGGACCCTGCTTCCTCACTGTGATTAATCTATATTTGTATTGGGGCCCTGCACCAGCTTCAGCTATAGGAAGTAAATGTTCACCTCTGCCACACCATAAAAGAAGCTGCATTTAAGAACAGAAATGTAATTTGAATTCTGAAGGAATTGTTTCTGCCCAGTAGGACTTCTATATAGATAAGAATGCTATTTCCATCTACTAATTAACTAAACTTTAGAAGCAGCATGTTAGTAGTAGTAACTGAACAAGAATGAGCCCAAACCAAAAGGCATAAAAGAATGACTTTCTAACTGGTTTGTATGTCAGACAGACTCCATAAATGAGAAGGTACAAATTTCCCAAGATTTGTGGAAGGGCAATAGCTTAGTGGTAGAAGATGTATTTTGCCTGCAGAATGTTCAAGGAACAAATCCATATCTCCAGGTAAGATATGAAAACCCCAGGAGAGTCACTGCCAGTATAAACACTATTACGCTACACAGAAAAAAGATCTGAAAACAAGAAGAACCTGGTGGGCCAGGCCAAAAGCTCATCTAGTTCAACATCCTTATTCTCACACTGGCCAACCAGATGCCCTTGGGAAGCCTGAAAGGACCCAAATACAACAGTCTCCCTACTTGTGCTTCCAAGCATTTGGTATTCAGAATCACTTATGCTTCTTATTTCGTATTCAGAGGTTCCCAATGGGATTGGGGGTTTATTGGATCAATCCTGATTACTGGTAGAATTTTTCAGTCCTCTGGGACATAGTCGCCAATGGATGAATCCTGCCACAAAGTAAAAAGGCTTTTACCCTTGAGGAGCACAAACGCTGGACATGCTAAGGAAGGAGGGAGAACAACTCCTGTTCAGTTTTTACCGCAGTGCCCAACGTGTCCGTCTCAAAGCATCTAGATGCAGCAAAACAGCATTGTTTTTGGCTTTGATTCAGTTTTCCTTAAGCCTGGGGTGTGAGGACAGATTGGAAAGGGAAATGTCTAATTTACCTATATTTCTGTTTTCCTATCACTGCCAGGCTCTCTCTTCGCACATAGCCATAAGGGTCAGAGAGAGAATGTAAAACCAGGGTAGTAAGGGAACTTGTTTATTTATCCCATTGGTATGCCATCCCAGTTCCAAGGAGCTCAGGGCAATCCATGTGTGGTTAGCCCATTTTATCCTCCCCAAATCCTGCAGGTAGGTAATGCCATGGTCAGCCAGTGATGTTGATGACTGAGCAGGGATTTGAAACCAGGTCCCTAAAGCCTAATGTAACACTGCACTACATTACACCACAGTAGCTCTGGCCATACAAAGCCTGTCACTCACTCCTCCTTTTCTTGCTTTCTCCTGTTCCCTACTTTTGAGCTGTGTTTTTCCCCCATGCAAAGACACATGTTTGCGCCACTCTGCCGCCCAAATTCCACATTTATTCTGAGATTTTGTTGGTTGTTGCCATTCAGGCAATTCTGCAAATAAATGAATATCCTTTTCTACTGAAAATCTTTGGAATCACTGGTTGAGCAATGCGTGCCATAATTTGCATGATGTCATTGCAATAGTCTGCCTATGCCTTATGCAACAGAAACACTAGAACTCTTCTGGATCAGATTCTGCCACCCTCTGCATTAAAACTAAAAGCCTGAGCAATTTAGTCTGAAGGACATTAATATTTTTTGTTAGAAGCTGCATCTGTAGACATTAGACTACAGAACTGATGCTATGCAAATCATGTTGAAACTGTCATACACTATACAGAGACATCTGGGAACATCTAAGGAAGCACCCAACAATTTTATTAAAGGACAGGAAGAAATTAAACAGTTGAGAGAAATTGTACAACTACCTCCTTTGAGAAAGAAGGGGACATATTATATTTCTTCAAGCTAAAATTAGCTGTGTTAGAGGAATTAATTACAAAAGGGAAATTCTCTGTATAGTGGACAAAGATTTGCTCTTGGAAGACCTAGTTTCTGCTATCAGATCATTATGTGGCCTCTGTGTACTAGGTCTCACTAGAGAATGAAGAACTTGATAGTTTGATTTCTGCCAAAATCTTTAATGCTCAGTGCATAGGCAAAGTAGAGTTCAAAGGTACAAGTGCTATGCACGGCTGAGTAAGCTAAGAAGTTGATCCAATGAGCAACACACTACTTTGTGTCCCATTATATGTTATTTATTATATGCTCTCAGCTACACTGGTGCCTCTGTGACCTAGGCAATGGAAGAGGCATCAGCATCAGCTCTGAACCAGGCTGAGCAGTAGACTCGTGAGAGAATGGCTTGGGACAATCTCAGTTAGTGCTGGAGGTGGTACCAGGTTTGGAGGTGAGACTGGCATGAGAACTGAGGGCACTGGAGACACAGAGTGCTTGGCTGAAGTGAGAGGGGATGAGGCAGAATGCTGGGGTGAAACACTGCTGGAAACCTTCCCGATACCTGACTCCTCATCTGTGAATCCAAAGCGAATCCTCTTGAAGCCTGGACACCTCCTGTCCCAATCTACTGGGCTCCTCCCTGAGGTTGTCAGCTGGCAACTCCTCCAACTGCTCGTCCTAGTCCCAGGACACTCTAGAAGACTGCAGTCCCTGATCTCTGTTCCCCTGCTTTGAATTGGGAAATCTTCACTGAATACAATAAAGACTGTAAATTGAAAATAACAGCAGCAAAACCAGGAGATCTCACTGCTGTTTATTTAAGTCTACCATGGTTTGAAGATATTATGACAAAAGTTAACTGTTAACACAGTAGAGCAGAATGTAACCACCCTAGAAAGGACTGGATGTGCAAAGCAAAGAATGCTTGGGAGAGCTAAGACTGCTGGGTGTGTGCATGCATCTTGGGTGATCGCAGGGGATATCAACTAAAGAAAGTGGTAAAGGATCTCGGAATGAGTAAGCAGCAACATACACCATAATTAACTGAATGAGGTTTGTTCCTTTCATCTTGATTCTGTAAAGATAGGCTACGTGGGATTATTTCTAGCGTCTGAACACTGGGAACTGCCACGTCTTGTCTACCCTTTCCTTGAACAATCTTCTATCCAAGGTACGTAAGGCACTACCTTTTAAATGGAAAGCATTTGCCTACAATGATGAAAGTTGATGGGAGTTGTGGTCCAGCAACAGCTGGAGCACCCCATGTTGGCCACCCTTGCTTCAGAGTGCCACTTTAGTTACACCAAATGCCCTGAATCGTGTCACCTTGTAGATGGCCCTTAGCATGTTAACGCCAGGTATGTCTACCTTGTCATCTGTTTCGGGTTCAAATTTCCCACATTTGAAGAGCAATTTTGTGGTCAGTGACTCCGTATAAAAATATATAGGCATTCCATTGGTATTCCTTATTTTTCTTAGCAGCAGAAAAGTACAACTGCTTACATGCCTCTCTTTCTACTGTCTTATTTAATTGTTGCTTAGAGGCAGCTTATGCCCCTCCTAAGATGCTCTGCAAACCCCCCCCCCCATCTCTCTTATGTTAGGCCTCTAGCATGGTCACAGTTCCTTACTTCCCCAATTTTCTTTCCATACCTCACTTCTGTGAAAAATACAGTGTGACAAACCTTTCTCTTGACATGCTACACTTCAAACCTACTTTTAATTATAAACCGCTGTCTTGCTGCTTCATTTCCTAATTGAGGAAGCACAGCATGCAGTCCTGGGACTGGATTTCTCTTAACTCCTTATTGCCCCAGGGTCGGCTGTCCAATTAAAGAGCAGCTCCTGATTTGCCCAGAGACTGAAATAATAGGATGATCATCCTGCCTGTTCTCTGTTAGGTTAACATCCTGTCCTCATTTCAGAACAATTTTCCATTTCTTTTTAAATCTAGAGATACAACTGACCTTTGATTGAAACATATCTATGGAATGTGTCAAGTTCATGGAGGCTGGGTAGGTAGCCTATTTAGAATTTGCCCATTAGTGATTTACCAATAATAACGTTAGCCTTTGTGGGACCTACTTTTATATATCTGGGAAGAAACTTGTCATTTGTAAGCTGAGCATGGTCTTTTATCAAAGTTCCATATGCTGTGATGAAAAGACCCCCCTTGTGGTTACACTGTGAGACCTTGGATATCTTTAAATAAAAAACAAAATAGACCTGACATTTCCATGAGACTAGGCAGATGAGTCACCTTATAGGAAACACCAGTGGCCTGACTTGCCTGAGAGCTATCTCACATCCACTATGCCTTAAATCACAATATGCTTATTTCTGGAAATATAAGTTATAGCTTAATGCATGGGTCGGCAAACTAAGGTCCGCAGGCTGGATCAGGCCCAACTGCCTTCTGGATCCGGCCTGCAGACAATCCAGGAATCACTGCGTGGATCACCAGTGTGCACATTCTTTCCCTCTCCCTCTCCCTCACACGGCACCGCCACCTCCTCCTCCCTCCCTCCTCCTGGCTTCTCCCTGCCCTGCCTAGAGGAGGAAGGGGGCTGGACTTTGTTGGTGCCAGCAGCAGCAGCACTTGAGCGGCCGCCATTTTAAGCAGCCCCTCTCCGGAGCCCTTTCGTGTTCCGTTCATCATCCTGCTACCGCCAGTCCCTGCCACTCACAAGACACAGGTAAGCAGCCACCAGGGCTCATCTGGTGCTGTGGAGAAGGGAGGGGGAGTCGTGGGGGGGTGGCTTATAGTCCGGCCCCCCACAAGGTCTGAGGGACAGTGGACCGGCCCCCTGCTGAAAACGTTTGCTGATCCCTGGCTTAATGGTAATCTTGAGGGAGGTGTGGGCAAACTTTAGGCATGCGGTATTTACTTTGTATTCAAGTAGAAGCCTGAGATCCGCCAGCTGAAGCTGGCTGCAAAATGGCCGTGCGGAAAATGGAACCAATTACCTACATTTCTCCATGAGCATTACACTGGGATGACCTGCAGACACAAATACAAATCTGCATCTGAGTTACTACAGATCAGAGATTCTAACTGTCCGATTTAGACCCTAAAATGGCTATTATTAAACAATGGGGAGTTGGAAACCCTTGTAGCTCTGCTGCAAATCACCTACATAGACAATCC